AGCCTTGCTCGCAATGCTGTGCGATTTATCACTCACAATTTGTTTTGACTATATCTTTTGATGACGATGATAATTTTCTTATTATCATTTTAAATTATATCAAAGCTTTTACATATTTATTATTATTTATTTCATTTAATAAAGTACGGACTAATTTACATTAACAAATGTAGTTTGTTATTAACAGACTTTAACATATATAATCCATTTAGATTACTTATTACACATTACTTACTGTAAAGGCTTAGTATATTAAATAAACATAATGCCTACGATAAACGTAATTAGCTAGATTTCAAAACGTTCAGTTTATAATTTAATGTAAAATAAACCTTCGAGACTATTCCTTGAGTCAATAATTGCGCGTTACGAGTTGATACGTCCCTACTGCGTCGTTCGAGAATCCTTGACTTATAAGCAATTTATATTCTCTTCCTTATACAGCGATAGCCCGCAGCCTTTTCTCTAGACGCCCTACTTAACATATATCGTCAACACTAGCGGCTCGAGCTCCGACTGCGACAGACATTTAAATTTAAAACAATCCAAGACCTCTCGATATCTTCTTTTCTATTTAGAGACTAGCTTTTTGCTCGACGCGAGCGGTTCTGTTTCTTTGTGTTTGCTCTCTACAAACGTTCTTTTGTTTCACTTCACCAATGTAACTGTCAACTTTTAAAATGGAAGACGACTTTTCATCGGGGTCATTTCAACATTTAAGTAGAGTAAGAGTATTAAGTATTTCGCGGTCTCGGGAAATTTTATTCAAAGACAATTCGAAGTTTGCAAGTTCATTTACGTAGCGTTGTAAGTTTTGAATAAACATCGCTAGACAAAAGCGCCTGTTTAAATATTCAGTGAGTTTATATCTTTATAAAAGTCCGCAGCACGACGGCTCTGGATGCTATTCATATTTAACACAGTAATAATTCCAGCAAACTCGGCGATTCCAAGTTAATAAAGCGCAAGATGTCGTCGATTCTTTATTCTGAAACGAACGAACCAATTGCTTCGGTAATAAGGCTCCGTGTTAATAAAAGGATCGGTGAAGCGCGAACCCTCTCCCGTACTCCCAGTTCTCTATCTATCGTTTTCTATTTTTGCAATTTATACAAATTAAATACAATCATGACTTCTTCTAAGGATTTTAATTTACATTTCGATATTCAGAGGATTATATTTATTGGTATTTTTCATTATCATTTACCTTATATACACACACGAAAGGAAATAATTCGGTATATAAATAAAATAAAGTATCAAAAATTAATTTAATTGAGTTCAGTGGAACCGTAACAATAATATCTAGTCGTCCGTGCAGTTTGCGTATCTTCAGAAAGTTTCATTTCGACTATTATAAGTCATTATCAGGGAACACAAAAGGCCTCATCTGGCAGGGCGTCATTACAATGAGGCCCGGCCTAATCGCCGTCCCCGGGGGCCTTTGTTCTGGTCTAAAGGACTTGGGATTGTCTAACATCTTCATTAATATTTTCTCGTGCCCTTTAATGTAGATCGCATAATGTGTTAAAATCCTCCCTCTGTAAAGTGCTTAAGCCCTTGATGGAGAGTATCAAATTTTGTACGACTGTTGTGTCTTTTGTACCTTCCTCTTGTGGAATTGATTTCGCTTTCATCCTTTTCTCCTTCAGTACTTATTTCGATTCGGCCTTAATTATAATTTTCTCAAATATTGTTAATAATATTGTTCACGTATACTTAAACTGCTCCGAAAATGTAAATAGGGCTCAAGAAGGCGATGTCAAAAATTTTATCAAAGGAATCAACTTCGCGACCGGTTGTCTACATGAGCTAAAACCAGTTCCCTCGAAGGAAGTCATTATTAATCATCTTTTAAGAGCCTTATCGCGTCTCTGACCTCCATTCGGCTTGCGAAAACTCCGGAATTGAATAAACGTGCTATTTAAATACACGGAAACTTCAACTGCGTGTTTTCGAGCTTGATAATCGTAAATTCATTTATTAATTCGTTCGATGTTGGCATTTTCGTTTTGTCGAATACAATCGGAGAGCGATTATGGGCAATGCATGGCTGTGATTTAATGAACTTCTGTATTGATGATTTATTCACACTTTTCCTACCTTTAATGACAACTTCATGAATTTTATAGCCTTAATTTTTCTATATGGTAGATATTAATTGCTTGATACGTATCCAAATATGTCTATTTATCATTGATTGCTTATTTCATGGCTTTTTCAATGCATTAAATTAAACAATCATGGGTAATGTCATCTAGTTGCTCTTTATAGTAATATTTTAAAATGAGCAAATTGAATTTAAGTTCCATAACAGACATGTATAATATTTTTTCGTCTCTAAAAGGAAGTGAACTAGTCAATTATAATAACAACCTTTCAAATACGTGCACCTAAATCATATAACAGTTATGACGGAACAAGCCAACCAATGTCCATATGTAGAGCATATAAGGTCTACATCGATCACACACGTCTTCCTGACATAAAAAGCGAAAGACACGAGATACGAGTACAGGTAAAAAAAAGTAGAGAGGCCGTGATCCTGGGGCTAGATATGGCCTAGCAACCTTCTATTTGGTTGTATCTAGTCTGTATGAGGGCCGCGTAGCCGCGCCGCTGCAAGGGCGACCACTTCGCTTCCTGAACATGACGGATAACTGAGATCGTGCACTCGCATGTCCACAACGCTCCTTAAATAACGGACTTTTTTATTTTCAACACATACGTTTTATGATATTTGATAAATGTGCATGATTATAACTGTCTTGCTATTTTTCTAATATTATAAATGCGAATATTAAGATGGCTGGATGGATGTTTGTTAGAAGGTATCTATCTCTTTCTAGAGATGGCTGCTTGGATCTCGCTGAAATTTGACAGAGATGAAGAACATAGTCTGGTAGAACACATAGGCTACTAATTATTATTTTTCAAAATCAGTACTAAAAAATCTAATTAGGAATTCTATTTAAGCAATGAATTTGACAAGCGGATATTAATTTCTGGCTATATGTGTTAACAAACCAAGTCTTATATCTAGGTTTGTACGTTAATATTCCGATATATCTTGTATCTTTCTATATATTTGCCGTCTAATATGACATTATTGGTAATCAGCAAGGATTTATCTATCTTGTTTATATAAGGATTAAAGTCTTAAGAGTTGTGTCGTGAGTACACACTTTAAAAGCAATGCCATCTAACATCTTGAAGTGTTTTCCGCGCTGTACAAATGATGTATTAGTAATCGATAGTAATATTATGAAAATATTTGAAATAACATAACATACTATCAATGTAAGTTGTTCAATGTGACATTTTGTGAATACTTGTATGTTTGGAGTGAGTTTTTTACTTACTTTTTAAACTAGACATACTTGCAAAAGTTAATATTACAAATATATGCCGCATTTCTTCTTTATCATTTTCTTTTGGTGGTTTTATATATCTAATCTTTGTTATTGTCCCACATAACTTTTTCGTTATACAATCTAAATCATTCTACACATTTGTTTCAACAACTTTACCCTCACTTTGTTCTCGTTAGCTACTTTAATACGTGGTGTTCGCAAAGAGATCAACGCGTATGCCTGAGACGTCTTTACGAAACAAACATCTATTTAAGCAGTTTCATGATTGTCTTGTCGGATTTACACTAATTAAACAAGTTTGTTTAAACTCACTTTAACGTTTTCAGCAAAATTGTACTAATACAAACATAACTAATGCCGTAAACAAACTGTTAAATGTTAAAACTGAATACATTTAAAAGTTTTAATTAGTGATGACCTATGATAAGCATAATCTAGATCTGATTAAGATAATAAAAATAGCTCCTAGAAATCATTACAATCCTATTTATCGCGAAGGTTGCAAAGTCCTTGAAACACAGAAATGTAGGTTGATGATAATTTTGTATGACCAATATGTTCGTATCACACAATTAGTAATAATAATTTTCGCATCAGCCCGACTACCTTTTAGTAATGGAGCAAAAAACGGTCTACCTCTATTCAGTTCACCTTGAGCACAGGCCGGAGCGAGCTCCGAACTTGATTTAGTCGCCGACTGACAAACCCTTTTTTTGTTCTGAATATAAATAAGATGAACAAAAAAAGACGAGTTGGAGTTTTTTTCCTCTCTCCGTTACCAGCGAAACGTAGTTTAGCGAAAGTAAGATTTGAATAATAAAAGAGATATTCGCTTATGTTCTCATGGTGCGGTGTTACTTTTATACATCCTCGGAGACTTCGCGAGATAGGGAGGTAAACTTTTTCCTTAGAGATGCCTCGGAGTACGCAAGCCAAATACGAAAACGGGCGCCGTCCGTTCGACGTTAGAAGTAACATAAAATGAACATTTCGATGCGCGCGTCCTTAGCACTTCCTACACGATTTGATAATAACTTCCTCCGTCCTTTACTATCCTCGTTCCTCAATGTTTACATCGTGCAACCGACACGGAAGCAGCTAGACGCGTCGCAGTGAACGAGTGCGGCTCGAGTGCGGCGCGTGTGCGGGGCAAGTGCTGCTCGCCGCGTGGTGGTGCCGCACCACATTACTAGAAATAGAATTAAAATTAGGTCGCCCACCTCTCCGCTCTCGCGCACAAACCCGACCAACACTAGCTCCATTACTTATTCCGATGCCGCGAACGACGTAAAATTTTCCGCTATCGATCTATTAGAATATATTATGATTTCGACTTGTTTGTAATAATAATAATTCCTATGATAACAATATCATTAATAGTAAGGACGCAGACTTAATGGTGCAACGTCATGCATACTAATTCGCCACGAGCGGCTCTCCGGCGCGCTCGGCGGATCGGACATGCCTGAAATAATAATTACACTCGCCACAATTAAACAGATAACGCTGATTTTCGGACTGGAATATCGTACCGATTTATAGTTTAACCTAAATTGACGATCCGTAGAGCCGTTTTCCGTTTGGAATCGTGACCTTAACTAACGTACGATATGTCTTTTGTTGCAGACGAAGAAGAACAATCCCAATCACATAAAGAGGCCGATGAACGCGTTCATGGTGTGGTCGCAGATCGAGCGCAGAAAAATATGCGAGCAGACGCCTGATATGCACAACGCCGAGATCTCGAAGAACCTGGGCCGCCTGTGGAAGACGCTCAACGATGAAGCGCGGCAGCCGTTCATCGATGAGGCGGAACGTCTGCGACAGCTGCACATGCGCGAGTACCCCGACTACAAGTACCGGCCGCGCAAGAAGACCGGCAAGCCCGCGCAACGCACTGGCGCCGTCACCAAACAGAAGCGCAAGCAGCGCGCCGACTCCAACAACAACCGGGGAAGCGGCCGGCGACGACCGCGGCCTGCACCAACAGCACCCACCGTGCTCGGCGCGCCCGGTCTGCCCGGTCCGCCCGGCCTACCCGGCCTGCCCGGTGATACGCCTGCACCACCGCCGCTGCCCGCCTCCCCCGCCTGCGCACCCGACTCGCCCGAGTCCGCGTGTTTCTACGACGACAGCACGCGGCGCGAGCAGGCCGACCTAACGGATCTGTACTCGATTACGGACCTGCTGCCGCTGCCTGCGGACTGCGAGGTGGACCTAGACGCGCTCACGACCGACATGGAGTCGTTCGAGACAGCGTCCTCGTCGTCGGGTTCACACTTCGAGTTCTCGTGCACGCCGGACGTGTCAGACATGCTGAGCGAGATCGGCGTGGCGGGCGATTGGGTGGACCACACGTTCTCATCATACTTGACGTAATGCCGGCGCGGTGCCGGGCGCGCTGCCGGGCGCGGCCGCCACTCCCCTGATCTCATTGCCGAGCCGCCGCACGGGGCCGCACGGGGCAGCAAGGGCCGCTCCGCGCACGCTCGCCGCCCGCTCGTCACCCGCTCGCCGCCCGCCTAGAGAGTGCCTACATCCAAAATCATGTGTCGACTTTTGGATTTAATGTACAAAGTTATTTAATAAGGTTCGAGGGTGAAATTTTTTAAGTTTGTCGACCGGTCGCCGGCGACCGCATTCTTCCTCGGTTCCCTTGTTTTCTCGATGAGTGTCTGTAGAGCGCTGCGACGCGTGTGCGCCGAGGACGAGAAGCGAAGAGTTTTCTTTTATACATAGGCTGTGAGTTAATTCTTTTTACGGTGTTGTTTTCGTTGAATTACGTTCGACACGAACACGATCGGTTCGATTTCCGAAGGGCACGTCTCGGACGCATCTCAGTAAACGATCCGTCTCATCTGTCCGTCGCCGGCCACCCGGCCCAGTCGAGTCTCGCCCCGCGCCCCGCGCCCTTTTCTCTACGTGTACATTACTCGACTTGGCTTCTAAACACTTCGTTCGCAACTCTTAAGTCGTCTTATCATTTTATATTTACTTTAAGAAATATTGTCGTTTTTATGTTCTGAAATAATAGATGAAATATGTATCATTCGACAAATAGAAAAATAAGACTAGGTTATAGTCAAGTTTGCCTTGCGTTCTATTTACTGTACGTAAGTTCACTTTATACTTTGATGCACACATAGTAGATAGTACATTTATAATTTCCTTTTCGGAAGCTAATCGGTATGTCATTGAAAGAATTTGGGAGTGCGGATATTTCCAGTAGGCACATTGGAGTGAGCGTAGGGCACGCCGAGCGCGGGCTCCCGGCGCGCGCCCGCAGCACTGCTGCTTGTCTGTCCTGGCGCGCCGCCCGCGGGGCCCAGCTCGGCGAGGCCTTCCTAGGTGTTTCGGTTTGATATGTCTTGCTATTTGTACGTTAGGTCGTTTAAGGTAAGGTTATCTTCGATCGGTGATAAGGTATGATCTTCTGGTGTCGTATCACGTACAGTGACGGCCCATCAGCATGCGAAGGGACACTGTTCAACTCTCTCCTTTTTTTTCTTAATGCTTACTTCGTCGAGAACGTCTGTGGGATGATACATATCAAAGAGAGGAGCTGATGTATCGCGGGACGGTGGTAAAAGTAAACTTATGAACAAAACACTAGTTCTATTTCACTCAAATGTTTTGCTGTTTCAAACTCTGTGATTTACTTTATGGATTTCTAAATTGTAAGGTTCTAGTGGAGACTGATATCGCATAGATTAGTTTTAGCTGCGCTAGCTTCTCTAACTTTTTAATTTTTAGAACTGGGCATAATTTTAAAGAAGGGAAAACAATAATGTAACTATTTTTGATAATTTGCTTTGCTGTGGAAGTCGGGCGTCCGTTTGACGAATTAGTCTGTACTTTAATGGAAGTTTTTATGAATAAAAGTAGTTAGTTGCTCACGAGTCCGTCTGTTGGCGAATGTTGTACTTAATGTTGTGGCGTTTGCTTGCTGGCCCGGCCTCCACAGCGCGGCATTGCTAAATTCTATTCGAGATTCGAGAAATTCGGGAAATCTGTCAATTCCATGTAACGTTGTCACTTAACGGGGTAATGTTTACAAACACGAATGTTACCTCGATCACTTTAACATATGCTAAGATACCTTCTTAATATACTGTTTCAGATAAAAAAGTCCCAATATTTGTAAATATTCTGTGTCCCTAAATGATAGTACATGTATGGGATCCGTTGTGCTCTAATCGATAAAGAAGAAAAATGCTTTACTTATATTATTATATTCTTATAAATATATTATGTAAAAACTTCATGTAATACTTAGTAAGTGTCTATGGAAATCTAATTATTTTTAAAGTAATACGCAAAATGCGCGTTATCTTTACATAACTGTATGCAACCGTAAGTAAATATTGTCTTGTGTCGTAGAGCGATATATGTACTTCATATACATGTATTATAATTAAATTGAAAAAAAAAAAAACAATATTGTGCCTAATAAACAACTTGAAACTCTTCATGATGTGTATATTTTAGCGATGCTCAAGATATGTATAAGCGAGTAGTGGTTATATATAGATGCTGTTGAACTCTATAAAGTTATATTTAAGGTCTCTTCGGAAGCCAGACTTGCATTTCATATAGATTTCTGTTCGCGGTCCGACATGTGCGCTGCGCTTTGCCATACCGCTGACGACTAATCACGGCACTTTTGTACGCTGAGGTAATTGCTCCAGCTATAGCCAGCACCGCAACTCACATGTCGCTCGCACGCTATTCTACTTCTTATTTCCATCGCATTGGACATAAAGTCGCGCACGCACAACCCACTACATCTACCTCCTGCCGGCCTCGAACTCACGTTTCCTTTGCATCGACAGATGGTATCATAACTTGTGTTCTCGTAACCAAATTACCTCCGTTGATTCCGTGAAGAGATCTCTTTATTCTTGTATCGATGGCCGCTATTTCGTTGCCTCGACTTCTATGCCCCCTTGTTTTTAAACTTCGACCTATTCACGTTACGCTTTTCTGGTAGCGACAACTTTCGCTTTTTTATGGATATATTTGTTTGTCTTCTGTACTCAGTCCTTTATCTAGGACTGAGTTCCGCTTTCACTGAATCGATTCATCGAGTAAAAGCAATATATTTAAATAGTGACACGAACGCTCAAATTTTGTAGTTTTTATGTATACGTCTATATCTATTGTAAATTTATATGATACATTTCGGATGCTTTAAGAAGAAACCGTTAATTGTTTTTTGTAAATTGATAATTAGAGCCGTGGTTGAACACAGACGTGGTAAATTGTGTGTTCAATTTTTATCGGTGTGAAGGTGAGATGACAAACCCCGAATACATTTAGCACAACATCGAATTTAACTTTGTAATTTAGCGCTTCTTGTTGCGGTTCAATAATGTTTGGAATTATCAGGGTTTTGATATTTTGTGTTAAATATTAGATTGTATAAAGTCCCATTTTGAAAAAATAATAAAAAAATGTTATTGTATGCCTTCCTCGGTGTGAGCCGATGTCCCGCGGAATTCTAACTTTCCTGCTTCAATCATAGGCTTTATTCCTTCATAGCCTTCTTGTAAATTTTTCATTGAAATTGTCGAATTGTTTTTTAATGTAAATAAGTATTGAAAACTGTTAATATAAAAGTCAAATAAAGCGATACTGTGACAAAAATTAGAGGGTAAAATAAACGTCTCAAAGAAAGTAAATATCATAGAAGACGTAGTAGTTATTGTAGACTATGTATTTAGTAGATATTATATAATGTGAAGAAACATGTAATGAATCAGTGTAAACAGCTCTTAAACAAATCCGCAACAATTAATTCGTTTTATGATTTTTTAAATAAAACAAATTAATTGTAAGACAGTTAACCTTGTGGTCTCAACATTTTCAATGCAGACAGACACATTTTTGTCTATTTTAAAATACGGAGTGCAATTCAAGATATTGTCGAATTTTATATTTTCTGTGAGGTTCCACTAAAATACCTGTATCGAAACACTTTACTATCTCTGTTTTTTAAGTAAATGAGAGGTGTGTTTTTATACATGTGTATGGATAGTGGAAACTCACAATTGAGATCACACAGCATCATTTAACAAAAACTTTCTAACCGTAGGTTTCTGAAACCAGAATCTTTGCATAAAACATTTGTTTTTAACATGGATTACGGTCTCAGAAAAACACGGTAAATCAGTTGTCCTACAAAGTAAATCGAAATTCTTGGATTAAAAAATTAACAATTAAATTAAACATGTATATGCGTAGTATAAGTTTTTTATAAATACGATTCAATTGAGAAAGAAACAAAATGTTAGTGATTAATTCACAGAACTGAAAAGTTAAAAATATTCTTGTTATGTTATTTGAAAAAAAGTTTTTGAACATAATTATATGTGTATAATATAATATGTATGTATCGGCTGTTAATTTAATCTTTAAGCTGTTTAACTTAGGATCTATTATTATTTCCCTTTAAATAACAAATATATGACGGCTAAGGCACAATTAAACATTGTGTGTAGTTGTAATTAATCGGTGTCTATAAGATTAAACAGTAATTAAGGAGTTTGTTGTACGTTGGTAACAACTTGTAGAGGATATTTTAGCGATGTGGTATAATAAAGTCTTTGTTGAAGTAGTTGTCTTATTAATATTTATTGGTACTATGATAAAGTTAATAATAATGATAAACAAAGGAAAACTTCGCACAATCTGAATCAAGGAACTAACGTAGGCGTAACAATAATATTTTATTATAATAATAATAATGACAAAAGTTTAAACATACATTCTTTAAAATTACTTATCATTTCTGTTTCAGTTAATTTTAATAAAAATCTGCTTCGTTATTTTACAAAATTTCCAATACATTATTAAAACGATTTACAATTTCTTTTTTAAATATGTTTCAGTTTTGAAAATCGAATTTTACAAATAACATGATTTATTTTCTTTGTAAATATACCTTATTTCATCAAGTTTTCTAGGAACAAAAAAAAAATAATGGTCCATTAAAATTATCAAGTAATTTTAAGATTATATGAGTAGTAGCACATATGTATACTCTGAAATTGTGTGCGCTTATATATATATGACATACAGATACAAAATATTTCCTACATTCAAAGCTAAAAAAAGGCTTTAACGAGTATACAATGATTTGGACTGAAGTCATCTTCGTCATCAAAATACACTTGATTGGTTTCCTTTGTAAATAACTTGATGATTAACTTCATAAGGCCACGTAATTTGTGTTCCGTTTCACACAACGACCGTGTGTTCCGAGCAATTCTAGTCTTTTGTAATTTTTTTTTTGGGTCGAATTTAGACAAATTCAGTTTGTCGTACTCTCTTCTCTCCGTCTATTTTGAATAGAGCTGTCTCACTTCGTACGCGTTTACAATTCGTAGTGGCCTTTGCATCATTGATACCTGATTTTTTAATTAGTGTTTTTTTTTCAATTTATACCAAAAACTAATGAAGCTCTTAAATACCGTTACCGATGGATCTCTTTTAAGTAGCTCTAAACGATTGTTCTGATTTTTCGGCTTACCAAATAGCGCGGCCGGAGGCGCCCGACCCTAGCGCCCCCAAGAAATCCGTTCTAAAACATTGTAAATATTAGAAGAACAGATTTGTTTTAAGCGAAATGAATACAACGCACGGTTCTTTTGAACGAATGAAAAAAAAATGTTACCCTTTATTGGGTTTATTTTATTATAATCTATTGTCCTGCAATAGTTTAAGGGTTTTATTTTGTATTGATAAGTTCGGCGTGGCGTCGTTAGCCGCGCCGCAGTCGACGCGATGGCGTCCCCACGTCCGTTGTAAATTATAAATTTACCTTTTAAGGTACAGTAACTGCATATAATGTACGTAGTGTTTTAAATTGTTAAGTATGGAATAACGATACTGTAGTTATGGATTTAAGATAAAAAGTGTACATTTTGTATCGTACTTTGTTTCAATAATGAATATATATTATTATATGGTAAAATAAATCATCCAGTTTATAAAAAATAACCTGATTTTTAATTACATTTTCCATATCCTAGACAATATTCTACACATACATGTATCACGAGCAAATTGACTTACTTTAAAATGAAAAAAAATTGTTCATAACTTACACACGACTCAAAAAAATACAATAGTAAAAAACATATACATTTGTAAAAACAAATCCGCCTAACTGAATTACTCGAATATTTCATGAAATAATCCTTTGTCTATTATTTACAAAAATTACACACACACATTTTTGGAGACACAGCACTGGAGCGGCTCTTTTATTTCGTAAGTATAAACACGAAAAAGTAAGTACTAAAAAAATGATGCTTCATAAGTATTAAAAGTGACTAGTGAAGCAAATCAATCCTTACACTTCCAGGAATATATTCCACGAACACATTTAAGTATAAAAATTTACAGCCCCCTCAATTATGTAAAGCCTAAGAACGTATAAAATTTGAGGCCACCATAAAATTCGGGGACAGTAGAAATTATGAGTGGCAAAATATGATGGTATCATCAAAACGGAGTAATGAAACGCCTAATATAAGGAAGGGCATATAAAATTAAAGCAATAAATTTGAATAATAGTAGAAGCGGGTTCGTTGGGGGCACTCAGAAATCTTATTTGTGAATTTGCTTAATTAAACGGTCTTTAGAAGGTCGCCATAGATATCGCCTGTCGCTTTTAGAATGTAAAGGTCCCAAAAACAGTTGAATATTTAAGATATGTCTTCCATATATTATAAATGCGAATGTCTGGATGGATGGATATTTGTTAGAAGATATCTCAAGAACGGCTGTATGGATTTCGCTGAAATTTGGCATAGATATAGAACGTAGTCTAGATTAACACATAGCTTACTAATTTATTTTTTCACTCCGCGTGGAAGAGATCGCGGGTAACATTACTGCGTTCAATTAAAGTAGTGCTCAACTCTTTTATATACGTTTACTTCTCGTATTGTATTATAGGTTTTCTAATAAATCTTCAAGAGTCTAAATAAATAATGAAGATGTTTATCTAATTCTGTACCAGTTTGTGATCGCACACTTATGTACTACTCTATGTACTATATACTCGTATGTTCAGATGTCGAACCTTCGTTACATCCAATAGGTAAATAGATCTGTCAGATAAGTTAAGGTCAGGACGAATTACTGACATAGCATATTAATGATGTTCTGACGGGAGTTAAACATCAAAGATCTATTTTAAACATATGCAATATTCAAAAATAAATATATTTTTTTTAAATATAGAATTTAAATCCACAAGGTGAGAAGAAAAGGCTACTTTTTCTTTTATTAATCCTTAAGAAGCTGAAAGGTTCAATGAAGTATCCATTATAAAAATCACTTTATCTCACTCGTGTTATTGACGTGGGCTGAAGTCACCCATTCATAAGCAATTAAGCAAATGTGAATTTGGAAAGTTTTGTAAAAGCCATTTAGGGTTCGTTGACCTCTCCAGACCCTTCGTTACCTATCAAAGTATACAAGAGAGCCATGTCATATCCATAACACAGACGGTGAGGTCGATGACAGGGAATGTAACGACAGGTGTCACTGCCTCAAAATAATAACGTATTTATACAAAAATAGGTAATAATTCAGAAGGAGTCCATACAAAATTGTTTTTATTAAGTCCCTATAATAATAAAAAAAACTTTAAAAATAGTCTAACTAATTTTTTTAATGTACTTTTCATACAAAAATGATAAAGTCACTTTAAGCCTAAATCTAATCGTTCGTAAATAGTGATCAATAGGAGAGATGGCATCACATGTCAAAGCATAAATTAGAAGTGCTCTGATCTTGTTATAGCGAGACCGGTCTGCCTGCTGTCTCCGGTCGCCAGTCTCTGGTCTCTGGTCTCGATTCTGACCGCGTCTCACGACAGTGTCGTTGCGGACTGCATGCTAATCGGCGACTTGTTATTCAGCAGCCGAAGTAACGTCCTTAGGCTTGACTTACAGACCTTAGAACACACTGTTCCGAGGTAATCATTGATTCAAGAACAAAACTAACATCCTAAGATACTTTGATAATAGATTTTTATCCCTAGAAGTATTAGTTGGTTTAGAACCCTGAGAATTTTTGATTAGTTCTTAAAATTATAGTGTGTTGAAGATAGTATTTTATCACTAAAACCGAAGAATAGTAGCAATGAGGAAGATCTTCATTTTCTTCTAAGGGACATAGCGCTGACAGCGTTTAAAGAAACTAAAGTCCAATTGTACCTTCATAGGGTTATTAAAATATGGGAGCAAGTGTAACATGACTTAAACCCCCGTATCCAGCGATAAAAATGTTTATCTCTGTTTTACGATACATCGTCCATTGGATCCTGCAATCCGGCTTCTTGTTTATCGGAAAATCACATTCCCCAACTAATTGGTTTTACTATGCACCCTTTACGTTTGCGACACAAGATACCAACTATCAGATACGACTGTTGATTAATTCAATTGGCACATATTAAGGCGACTCGTACAAGGGTGCCGCCGGTCCGAAATGAATGTCAAATAGCTGAGGCTAAATTAATTTGCCCCCGCTCCTGTTAGGGGAGGTTTTATAAGGAACATATTAAGTTCCGGACCATGTAGCGTAGATTTGTGCTCGATTCGATTGAACTCACGAATTCACGAATTGTGTTAGAGTAATTGAAAGGACAATGCAACGCTTTCTCTTTTTCATTTCCTAACTATATATAGAGGAATAAAAAGGATAGATATAGTAATAGTTATTCTGGCTTAGAAAATCCTCAATACGTTATCTAGATAAGGTGAACAGATATTTGCTATGTTGGATGAGATCAGTTTTGTATCAACGACCACGACTTTACAAATTCGTAACAAGCTCGTAAATATTTCAGTGCATTAACTCTTGTCTTGGCTGACCGAGCAATGATGAATTGCCAATTTTTTTTACACAAAAAATAACATCACAGTAAGCCAATAAAATGCTAGAGGACAAG